CCACTCCCGTGGGTCCAGCCCCTCCCTTCACCCCTATCACTGTCCTGCTGTGCCCCCATCTTTGCTGCTACAAGGCCCAGTGCTGCAGCAGGAAGGCTCCCTCCTACCATTCCCAGCCCATGCCCCTGAGCCCCCTACTGCCCTGCTCTCCCTTTCCCTCCACAAGGCCAGAGTCCATGGACTGCAAGGGCAGTAGTAACCAGCAGTACACTTATAAGATGGGAAACTCCCTTCTTGAGAGCACGGAGGCAGAAAGGGATCTTGGAGTAATTACTGACTCCCAAGATGAACATGGGCCGACAATGCGAGGTCACGGTCAGCAGGGCTAACCGCACCCTATCATGCATCCACAGGTGCATCTCAAGTAGGGCCAAGGAGGGGATCCTCCCCCTCTACGCGACACTGGACAGGCCACAGCTGGAGTACTGTGTCCAGTTCTGGGCACCCCACTTCAAGAGGGATGTGGACAACATGGAGAGGGTCCAGAGGAGGGCCACTCGCATGATTCGGGGACAGCAGGGCAGACCCTACAATGAGAGGCTACGGGACCTGAACCTGTTCAGCCTTCACAAGAGAAGGCTGAGGGGAGACCTGGTGACCGTCTATAAACTCACTAGGGGGGACCAGAAGGGTTTGGGGGAGACCTTGTTTCCCCTAGCACCCCCCCGGGATAACAAGGAATAACGGCCACAAGTTGTTGGAGAGTAGGTTTAGATTAGACATCCATAAGAACTACTTCACAGTCAGGGTGGCTAGGATCTGGAACCAACTTCCAGGGGAAGTGGTGCTGGCTCCTACCCTGGGGGGTCTTTAAGAAGCGGCTTGATGCCTACCTGGCTGGGGTCATTTGAGCCCAGTTTTCCTCCTGCCCAGGCAGGGGGTCGGACTTGAAGATCTACAAGGTCCCTTCCGACCCGACTTCTACGATTCTATGACAGTCCAGAGGCACAAACAGCCGAGATTCTCCATCCCATCACTTACCACACTTCCATGCCAACCCACAGCTCCTTAGAATCATAGAAAATGAGAGTTGGAACGGACCTCAGGAGCTCATCTAGTCCAGCCCCCTGCTCAAAGCAAGAGCACCCTGAACCTGATTAGCCCCACCAAAGCTTTGTCCAGCTGAGTTTTCAAAACTTCCAAGGGTCGAGTTTCCACCACCTCTCTGGGTAACCTGTGCCAATGTTTTACTACCCTCCTTGTGGGAAAATTCTTCCTAATATCTAACCTAAACTTCCCTTGCTGCAACTTGACAGAACAAGGAGCAATGGTCTCATCTGCCACTACTGAGAGCAGCCAAGCTGCATCCTCTTTGCAACCCCTCTGCAGGAAGTTGAAGGCTGCTATTCAATGCCCCCTCAAGTCTCCTCTTCTGCACACTAAATAAGCCCAGTCCCCTCAGCCTCTCCTCACCAGTCCTGTCCCCTAGCCCCCAACCATTTTTGTTGCCCTCCGCTGGACTCTCTCCAATTTGTCCACATCCTTTCTGTAGTGGGGGGCCCAAAACTGGATAGGGGACTCCAAGTGTGAAGAAATCACTTTCCTTGACTGAACAGAGGGAAGCAATCACTTTCCTTGACTTACTGGCAACACACCTACCACTGCAGCCCAGGATGCCATTAGCCTTCTTGACAAGAAGGGCACGCTGGCTCATATTCAGCTTCTTGTCCACTGTAACCCCCAGATCCTTTTCTGCAGAGCTGCTGCCCAGCGAGTCAGGCTGCAGCCTGTACCGGTGCATGGGACTGCTTCGTCCTAAGTGCAGGACTTTGCACTTGTCCTTGTTGAACGTCATGAGATTCCTTTTAGCTCAATCCTCCAATTTGTCTAGGTCACTCTGAATCCTAGCCCTACCCTCTGGCGTATCTATTACTTCCCCCAGCTTGGTGTCATCTGCAAACCTGCTGAGGGTGCACTCTATACCATCTTCCAGGTCATTGATGAAGACATTAAACAAAACCAGCCCCAGAACCAACCCCTGGGGCACTCCACTTGATACCAGCTGCCAACTAGACATCCAGCCATTGATTACTACTTTGTGAGCCCGATGCTCCAGCCAGTTTTCTATCTACCTTACAGGCCACTCATCCAGCCTATACTTCCTTAGCTTGCCTGCAAGAATGCTGTGGGAGACCGTATCAAAAGCCTTGCTAAAATCAAGGTACACATCCACAGGTCTCCCCGCATTCAGAGCCAGTCATCCAGTCACAGAAAGCAATCAGGTTGCTCAGGCATGACTTGCCCCTGGTGAATCCATGCTGACTGTTCCTAATCACCGTCTTCTTTAAGTGCTTAGAAATGGATTCCTTGGGGATCTACTCCATGATTTTTCTAGGGACTGAGGTGAGGCTGACTGGTCTATAGTTCCCTGGATCCTCCTTTTTCCCTTTCTTAAACGTGGGCACTATGTTTGCCCTTTTCCAAGTATCCGGGACCTCTCCTGATTGCCATGAGTTTTCAAAGATGATGGCCAATGGCTCTGCAGTCATATCAGCCAACTCCCTCAGCACCCTTGGGTCCATCCCATCCGGCCCCACAGACTTGTACACGTCCAGCTTTTCTAAGTAGTCCCTAACCTGTTCTTTCAGTAGTGAGGGCTGCTCACCTCTTCCCCAAACTGTGCTGCCCAGTGAGGTAGTCTGAGAGCTGCCCTTGCTTGTGAAGACTGATGCAAAAAAAGCACTGAGCACATCAGCCTTTTCTGCATCCTCTGTCACAAGGCTGTCTTCCCCATTCAGTCAGGGACCCACACTTTCCCTCTTCTTGCTACTAACATACTTACAGAAACCCTTCTTGTTAACCTTCACATCCCTTACTAGCTGCAATTCCAATTGTGAAGCCTTTCTGACTTCATCCCGGCATGCCCAAGCAATGCTCTTATAGTCTTCCCTAGTTATTTGTCCAAGTTTCCATGTCTTATAAGCTTCCTTCAGTAAACTAAATCACAAAAAGGAGTTCCCTGCTAAGCCAAGCTGGTCTTCTGCCATACTTGCTAGTCTCCTTCCACTTCCCTGGCCAGGCCAGGCCCCTCCACAGTTCCCTTGGGGCCCGTCCTGAGCATGTCAGGCTGGGCCATCTCCCTCCCTGCTGCCTTTCTTGCTAGACCATGAATGCTGTAGGTCTGGCCCAAAGCCTTGCAGCGGCTGGTGACCTCCTCCCCTGGCTCAGGATAGCCAGCAGCCTGTGATGCTATTGTGTTTGAGAACATGTTGGCTTATCTTCCAAAGGCCAGGCCCAGCAGGCTGCAGCCTCCTGGAGCCTCCCCCAGCCTGATTGCCTGCTGCCCGGCTCAAACACTGCAAAGGGCACACACCTAGGGCAAAGAGGCTCCTTCCCAGGCTGGCAGTAGTCCGTGCAGTGGCCAAGATGGACAAACAAGGCGTGCAGTTCACACAAAGCTGCTGGAGCGTTTATTGGTCTTATTATGGGTTACATTCAGTCTCTGGCCCATGGGGATGGGGCAGGGGTGCTGCACGGAGCTCTGTGGACTGAGCACATGGGCCCTGCAGGCATATGTTGGTAGACAAAGCTTACAGAAGCCCAGATAGCTCTGGGACCTATCTTTAGGGCATGGCTGCAGGCTGCAGCCACCCTGCCCCACAGCCCCTGCTGGCAGCACAACCTGGGAGCCCCCACCCTGCACCACTGCATGCTGCCCCAGCCCCACCTGCAGTAACTGCTCTCAAGCCGAGCCAGCAGGAGGCATAGGGCCAGGCGGGTCACCCTTGGGCAGCAGTCAGTCTGGGCCTGCCTTTGCCGGAGCTGTCTACACATGCCCCTGTTGCCCACAGCCTAGGGCCCAGGTGAGCAGGGAGTGCCCTGCCTGGGAGGATGCTGGAGCATGGCTGAAGCACACTGGGGGCCCAAGGCAATGCCAGTGCCAGTGCCTGCAGCAGGAAGCCCCTCGGTGCAGGAGGACAGGGGCGTTCCACAGGGGAGGCAGACAGACTGAGGCAGTGGGGACAACGTGCTGACAGCCCAAGGGAAGGCAGGGCTAGGATGGTGCCATGAAGCCTGGGCTTGGGAAGAGGCAGGAAGTATAGTGCATGTAGGGCTCAGAGCAGTAGGGAATAGGGAGAAGACCCCCAGCTTGGGCAGTGCAGCCTGGGCCAGCAGCAGAATCCTGGTAGGGACGGAGCAGGCCTCTCAGACAGTAATATGACCATGATGTCTCCGTCCCTGGACAAGGTGCCCAGGGCAGCCCCAAGACTAGGCCTGTCCCCCACTTGCAGGCCCCCATAACCATATGACATGACAACATAACCAAATGATACTGAGGAGATGGAGTGGGCTGGAGTCCGCAGTCCCCAAATGTGCTCAGGGAGCCCCTGCCTCTGCCCCACTCACCATTACATTAACCATTTTCCTACCAGACCCCTCAGGGGGCAGCCCCAGCCACAGCCAAGGAGTGAGCCAGCCACCCCCACAGACTACAGCTGACATGCCAGATGAGCAGCTTGCTGGGGCAGAGGGAGCAGAACAAGGGAGGTTGGTCTGTGGGCACCATGCCCTTGTGGTCCTTGTGGCCCCTGCTGTGGCACTGTGTGGAGGCAGGGACAGGGACAGGGCCCCTGGATGCGGAGGGTAGCTCCGCTGTCCATGCCAGGCCCCCACAAGTCACTGCCGTGGCGCAAGGCCCAGGCGCTGCAGCAGGAGGCAGAGTTGGAAGGGAATGGCTGGAGCCAGCTGGGGCCATGAGCCACGGTCAGGAGCACAGCGCCTTCTGCTGGAAGTATGCCTCGAAGCGGCTCTGAGCATAGTCCTGGGCAGGGAGAGTGTCCATGGGGGTGGGGCTTGGCCTGAGGACTTCCCAGCAACACCCCCACAGGCAGAGGGGACCCGGAGACTACCCACCCATTGATATCCTCACACCAGGGTGGGGAGCCCAGACCCACCCCCATCCATCAGGACAGCAGCTCAGGGCCAATCCCTGCTATGGGAGAGGCGTGCACTGCGCCCAGCTGGGGACAGCCCTGCTTCCTCCCCTCTCAAGGGCAGGGTGATGAAAGAGGCCTCCAGGGTGCGCAAGTTGGCACCCAGCCCCTCCCTGGGCAGGATGCCCCCAGGACCTCCTTCCTGGTTCCAACCCCATCCCCACCCCCAAGGCAGCCTGCCAGAGCTGTGCTCACCAGGTACCCGAACTCGATGGTGGAGATCTTTGCCTGCAGGATGGACCAGAGGCCCCAGAAGAAATGTGAGGCCAGAGCAAACCTGGAGGGAGTGGCCACTGTCAGGAGGTGCTGAGAGGGACCCCAGCACCAGCTCCAGCCCAGAGGCAGCACCCCCCACCCTGGGGAATCAGCCTGACCTTACTTCCAGCACCCACTCAGGTGCCTCCTCTTGGGGGGGGGGGGAAGGGCGGGGGGGGGGGGGGAAGGACGACACAGGAGATAGGGTGGACCACACAGCAGGAGCCTGTGGCATTGTGCAGTGCCTCAGAGGTCTCCTAGGACCTCCAGACCAGCATTCTAGTCCTTGTGGGTAGGCTGGTCCCCCTGTGCTCCATTCTCTGTGAGGGGGGTCTCTATAAGTTGCTACCTCCTAGTTGTGTTGGGGAATCAGAAGGGAAATAATCCCTGCGACACCAACCAGACCCACGAGGGAATGACCTACACTGTTGCTCCCACCTGTCGGGGAAGCAGACCAGGGAGCCCATGACACCATGTCCTCTGCCTCTAGAGGAGTCTTGGGGGATTCCCTGTCCCGCCCTGACCTCCCCCGCACAATTCTGGGAGGGTCTCTCTGGGGCAGCACTCACCGGTTGACCTCAGTCAGCATCTCCTCCTCGATGCAAGCTTGCTCCTCATGCGTGGTGTCCCCATGCTGCCCTGAGTCTTCCGAGAGGTAGTGTCGGATGAAGTGTAGCTGTAGATAGAGCCAGTGTGGGCTGAGCACAGGGGAGTCAGGGGCATGTGGGACTGCAGCACGATAGCCCAAGCAGGTGTCCCAAGACCCCCAGGACACCTGTCCTGCAGCCCACCCCTGCAGGCACCACCTGCCAGTCCCATCCCCCTCATTAGGCACAGAGAGCGGCTGCACAGCCATGGCCTCAAGGGCACCCCCACGGCCCCTCCCTAGCAGGGACCCCTACCTGCTGCTGGCGCGAAGGGTAGTTCTCCATGGAGGCCTTATAGAACGGCCATGCATCATGGGTGTAGTCATATACCCACTCACAGAAGTGATTGCCGATGTCGAAGCCCCTACACAGGGGACACAGTCAGTAAGATTCCTGCCCTTTGCAGTTGTGGCATGCCCTAGCCTTCCTCTTCCAGGACAGCACTTGGCGAGAGACAGAGGTGGCAGCCCAGGGGAGCCACTGGCCAGACAGCAGCTGCCACCTGAACTCTAGCTGATGGCTGAGCCCACCCGAGATCGCCCCATGCCACAGCCCCTCATGAGCCCCACTCTCATCCCACCCCACCCCATCTAGCACACCCCTCACCGCCCCCACACATGCCTGTAGTTGTAGCTGCTGTATTCAAAGTCAATCAGCATCAGCTTGTCTGTGGAGGAAGCTTCGCGTCCCGAGAGCAGGAGAATGTTTCCTGGCAGGAAGAGTGGGGCTGAAAGCACAGCTCTGAGGGAGGTGGCTCCAGGAGTACAGCAGCATGCACAGGAAGCCAGGGGGAGCTGGGACAGGCAGATCCTGTGTGCAGGGCTGAAGCAGGCAGCTCTTGCTCTTCCTAAGGGCAAGATGCTCCCAGGGGGAAGAAGCCCTGTGTATGAGACTCAGCAAGTGGTCAGATGAGCCCAGCTGTGGGTGGGGCAGGAGCTTGGGACCCAAGGGGCAGGCAGGGCCATCTGCAGGTCAGGCTAGTGAGGGCCCTCCATCTGCCTACACTCACTTTCCTGGACATCCACTCACCTTCCTGGACATCGTTGTGGCAAAAGACAACCGGTGACGGTGTGGACTCCAGCAGCTCCCTGAGGGCAGGGCAGGGCAGAGTCAGGTCAGCAGGGAAGGTCCCTGCCCCCATGACAGCTTGCTCCTTCCCCTCACCAATTCTGCCAGGCCCAGCTTGTGGCCACAGGTGAGGGGGGAGTCACGGCGCTGACTCTGCCACTCACCTGAGGCTGCGCATTTCCTCCTGTAGGTTGTAGGCCTTGAGGTGATTTAACTTCTTCAGCTGAACCTCCTCAGCAAAAGTGAGCTCAGCAATCTGATTCAGGTACCTGGAGCACAGCGTGTAACTTGGGTGCCCACAGGGGAGACCCCACAAAACTCCCTGTCCCAGCAGGGCCAGGGCCCTCATTCATGCCTATGGCCAGAGGGGACCTACCTGCTCACTGGCTCAGTATGGACAGAGCAGCCATCCCCATCCACCCTGAGCCAGGGCACTGGTCCCCTGGGGTGATGCATATCTAACGTGATTTTGGGAGATGAAGGGGGCTCCTCACCAGCCCCTGCCTGGGGCCTCAAGGGACATTGCTAGCCTTACCCCTCCATGGTCCCAAACAGCCACTTGGGCTCCTTGTTAAAAGGCATCACCATGCCATGGAACCGGGACATCTTCACTGCAATCTCCCCGGAGATGTAAGGATCCCGCAGGTCCTCGGTCCGGAGGCGTCGGCTCTGGGGGGGATGCGGGACAGGTATGAACCAGCCCAGACAGGCCAGGTACTGGATGGATTCCCCCTCCTCCCTCCCCAACCCCTCTGCACAGGGAGATGGGGATGGAATGCGTCTTGCACAGAGTCCCCAGCTCTGGGAATGGAATGGGGTCTTGGTCTCCAAGCCATGAGGTTCAGTTCCAAGGACAGGGCACAACAGGGGCCCAGTCCAGCCCCATGCAGAGGGGAGACTAGCTTTGCCAGGCAGGGGCTCTGACCTGGAGAGTCCCCCTCAGTAGAGGCATTCACCCAGTGAGGCCCATACCGGAATGTACTGCTCCAGGCGCCCCTGGGGGAAGACCCCATAGAGCCGTGGTCCCAGTGCCCGCTCCGCCAGGATGGCAAACATCACACTCTCCAGTACCAGCGAGTCCACACCCTGGCAGAGAGAGCGGACAGGTAAGCAGTGGCAGCCCCCCTCCCCTCCCAATCTGAGCCACAGTCAGGGAGGGGTCAGCACCTGCAAGCCCGAGGGCCTTAGAGGGGAGGCATCAGCCCCAAGTGCCAGTCTAGGGGGAAGCTCTGGGGGCCTGACAGCTAGGCAGGAAGGGATCAGCCCCCAGGAGCAGCAACTCTGCACAGGGGGAGCTGCTCCCCTGAACTGAGGCCCCACAGGCTGGGACAGCAGGGATGTGGGTCAGGATAGAGCAGAGGCTTCAGCATCCACCTGGCTACGGGGCACAACTGGCCCCGCGTGCAGCGAGCACAGATGTTACTGGCCTGAGCCGGGCTGAGCACAAAAGGCTCAGCCAGCCCCCAGCCTGACCAGGACTGCAGGAGCTCCAAGATTAACTGGACCGTGAGGTCTGGCAACAGCCAATGGTCCCCTTGTCTCCCTGTTACAGGCCCCTTGTTGCCCCCGGGGGGTGGGCTGAGTCTGGAGCCAAGTACAGAGAGGATACAGGGAACAAGGGGCTGGTCTGACCCAGGAGACTCCAAGAGCGCAGCAGTGTAACTGGCAAAGTGAAGACCGAGGGCCGTAACTGCAGCCAGTTAATACCCGGAGTGGAGAAGGAAACAGCAAGGACGGCAGGCGCTGATTGAGCTGATTCTCATGTTGGGACACAGCCAACACGAGAGATGCCAAGAGCACCCACTGGGCAGAAAGCATCTGACCGTGGGACCCCAAGGGAAGAGAGGGTGCCTGAGACAGTCCTGGGCCGTGCCCCCCACCGCCCTCCCCACAGCCAGGCTGGGACCCACGTACCTGGAGGATGGCCCCGTAGACGCGCAGCAGCACCTGCCGGGGCTCGTCCCCCATGCTCAGGATGTGGTCTGGGAGGGTGCATTTGTACAGCAGGTTGCTCAGCCCCCCACTGGCGACGAGAGCAAGGATCAGGGACCGCCCAGCTGGGACCCCATGCGCACTGCACCCCTGGCCAGCTGTCACGCATGGGACACACGTGCACCCCCCCACCCCGTGACCTGCCTGGTGGGGGTGGGGCATGAAGCAGCAGACTCCTGCCCCCCATGCCAAGGCCGTGTCTCCTGGGACCCGTGTCCTCCAGGGGCCACGGCCGGTGGTTCTGGGACCACGGGTAACACCCCGACCACAGAGGGGACAGGTGTGGGGCCCAATTCCCACAGCCCAGCGCAGAGCGTGGAGTCAGGCCGGGGAGGGGGCAGCAGGCGGCTCTCCTGCAGGGCAGGGAGGGAGGGCAGGGCAGGGACAGCGAGAGCGCCCCAGGCCGAGGAAAGCCCGTGGGACGTGCCCCACACCTAGTCAGTCTACAAGGTGCGCTGCCACCTGTGCAGCAGGGCCAGGGAGCTGCAGGGAAGGTGACTGTGACCTTCGCTCGCCGCCCGGCGCCTGACGGCG